TACGTAACACATGTCCTAACCATCTCAGTCTTTGTAGCTTCACGACTTCGTCGATTGATTTCCCCTGTTTACCTAGAACTCTACGCCTAACCTCCATGTTGCTCACCTTATTATGCCACTTTACACGGGAAATAGAACGCAGGCACCTATGATCAAAGACAGCTAGTCTTTTCATGTCTTCCACTCTCAGTGGCCAGGTCTCACAACCATAAAGGAGGACGGAGCGGACTGATGAGCAGTACACCCGCCCTTTGGTCGATAGTCGAACATCTCGTCTACGCCAGAGTCGGCGTAAACTAACAAATGCGAAACGAGCCCCTTGTATTCGTGCTGAGATTTCGTCAGAGATCAGCCCGTTGGGGCTGATGGTACTTCCCAAATAAGTGAAGCGGTCAACGTGCTCTACCACTTCACTTCCTATTTTTAAACTAGGCGTCGATGTAGTCCAGTCCTGTAACATCATCTTGCATTTGGCGGGAGCGAATCGCATGCCAAACATTCGTAGATTGCGGCTCAAGGTGTTTAGAAGACTCTGCATTTCGTCAGCGTCTTCGCCTAGAAGGACTATATCGTCTGCATATTCCAAGTCAACGAGATTATTCCCCGGTAGCAAGTCAATCCCTGAGTCGCTGAAGTCACCTAGGGTTAAGTCCATTAACACATCTATGATGAAGTTGAATAGAAAAGGAGATAATGGGCATCCTTGACGGACACCACTGGTCGTCATCAGTTCAGATGACAGCTCGCCGTAAGCCCTCACCTGGCTGTATGAGTACGAGTAGAGTGCCTTAATCAGTGCAATATATTTTCTCGGAATTCCCTTTACAGCCAAGCATCTCCAGAGAACTTCCCGATCGACAGAGTCGAATGCTGCCTTTAGGTCAAGAAATATAATGACTGTTGGACGCCGGTAGGAATGCCTATGTTCTAGAATCTGTCGGAGGGTGAAGATATGATCAATACACCCTCTTCCTGGTCTAAAGCCTGCCTGGCTCTCTCGTGTTTGTGCTTCCCGAGCACCACTCAGTCTACGCATGATTATTGAGCCTAAGACTTTAGATACTATATTAGTCAAGCTAATCCCTCTGTGATTATCACAGGAAGACTTGTCTCCCTTCTTGTATATGGGGATAATCAGTGACTTACACCAACCCGATGGGACTTCTTCTGATTCCCAGACGCTGCCTAGTACCTCAGTTAATCCGGACAGTAAGCTGTCTCCACCGTACTTAAATACCTCTGGAGTCATTCCATCAGGTCCCGCTGCTTTGCCTAGTTTCAGATTGGTGACAGCTTTAGTAACCTCAGTTAGTGACGGAGGACCTGTGTCTATATCCCATTCAGGGAGGTGTTGGATGCTCGGAAGGTTGAGCGTGGCTGTGGGCAAATTAAACTGCTCCTCATAATGCTCTTTCCAACGATCCAGTCGTCTATCCTGGGAGCTAATTATAGTGCCATTTTTTTCCGAGATTGTCTCACTAATGATTTGTCTTCTCCCACCCGTTTCCCTGATGAGTCCAAAGAGTTGCCTGGTGTTGCCTATCCTCGAAGCTTTCTCCATCTCTTTGGCTTTTGTCGCCCACCACTGTTCACGGTCCTTGCGGAGACTTTTCGTAAGTTTCCTCTTGTGCAGCTTTCGCTCCTCATTGAATTCGGAGCTCGCCGGAATAAGTCTTCTAGCATCTATCAGTTCGGATGAGGCGGTGGAGATCCAGTGGTTTTTACTCACCTTTGGGTTTACCTTATTCACAGCTTTTACAGCTGTATCTATGGCTGCCTGGATATTTTTCCAAGCTTCTTCAGGGTGAGCACAGCTGTCGAACACAGATATGTGTTTAGCTAGTTCTTCCTCAAATACGGATTTAGTTTCCTGATCGAGCTGGGGACGTGATGGTTTTACCGCCAGCTGTTTCCTACGTCCGTTCAGTCGTAAGCACACCCGAGCGCGGACCAGTGCATGGTCGGTATCTACGCACGTGTTCCAGAAGGAGCGACAATCTCCTACCGACCCACGCCAACGATAGCTTATTGCTATGTGGTCTATTTGTGTCCAGCGTTGGTTTGATGAAGGGGGTCTCCAAGTCAAACAGTGTCTCTCCTTGTGTTTAAAGTTAGTGCTTACAAGAAACAAATGATTATCAGAGCAGAACTGTAGGAGACGGTCACCGTTGTCGGTTCGCTGGCACGGAACTCCATAGGTGCCACCGACATCCTTCTCAGATTGACACAATTTCCCTACTTGAGCGTTAAAGTCACCAGCTAGAACGACTATGTCTGAGCGTTTAGCCTTTCCACCAAACTAGACAGCTTTTGGTAGAACTCATCCTTCGTTTCATCTGAACTGCAGTCAGTGGGGGCGTAGGCGGAGATTACGAAAAGGCATCGGCGAGTAGTGCAGTCCTTCCTCCTTCTTACTGATCCGTTCAGGCGGACAGCACACATTCGGCTATCTACCGGGATCCAGTCAAGCAATGTCTTTTCTGCCCTAGTACTCAAAGCTATCCCTACGCCAGCTAATCCTCGTGAACTAGCTGTGGCATCTCCTGACACCCTCAAGGTGAATTTTGCAGATTCAACCTGTTGGCCAGGTGGGGTTAGGTGAATAACCACACTTGGGTCTTGTATGCGTGTTTCTGAAACACAGCATACATCAATGGCTCGTGATGCCAGGGTCTTGGCTAGTGATGCTTGTTGTCCTATTTGGCAAAGTGTCCTAACATTAAGAGCTCCTATATGAAATTGGTGGCGCGGCTTTAAGAGGCTGTCGGTGGTGGTTTTTTGGCTTCCATCGTTTTTAGTGGACGCAGAGTGGAGAGGAAGTGGAGAGCTATCAAGTCGAGGAGTTGCATCAGTGGAAGGAAGGCAAGATGATAGAGATGAAGATGAAGACAAAGATGAGTGAGTAATAGAGAGGTTTCGTGTGCATTTCGGATTGTGAGGGCGATTGTTACTTCCCGGCTGCCCACACCGTGGAAGTTGGTTGCGTGACCGCAGAGCCCAGGGGACAACTGCTTGAGGCCGGTCACACGCGGCCTGTTTTTGTTTGTTCTTTTTGTTTGGTGTGTCTCAGTAGCAGATTTATCACTCCTGCCCTGTGACACGGCAGCAGGAAGCGCGGTCGTTGTTAATCCGGGCCACGGCCGATCCGGCATGAAATTTTGTGTTTTGTATGTATCATGATGTTGGATTGGGTAGCTGCTTTTTGTTTAACCGCTATCCAAACAACCTGCCTGGCATGGTAGACCTCAAGAGACATAAGTCTCAGCCAGTATAGCTTGAATAGGTCATTGCGGTGTTCAAGCCCGACCACCACGTCAAGGTAGCAGCTTTCGGTTGGGATGCTTTTAGGTACATGTTCATAAAATCGTAGTTATGTCATTTTTTCAATTCTTTCAATGCGACTGCTCCCACAGATGCATGTAAATTTGTACATACAGTTAGAGTTAACACGAGAAAAATAACTATCGACTTTCGATTGCACCAAAGAGCAAGTTGTTCGATAAACGGAGGCGAGCTTAGCTGAAAGATAGGCTCTGCATAGTGACGTCCTCGATGTTCTGACAATTGCTGTAATATTTTAAACTTTATAATCAAGTTGAATGTAGATGGGATTTTTCTCCACTGTGATTTGCTTGACATTTTAGACTTCAGACAATCCTTACTTGTTAATCAAACTTTGAGGGTAACCGTTGCTTTTCAACATCTTTTCAAGAAATATAAATTCTTCCTCTGATTTCTCTATAGAGAGTAATCTCCTAGCTCTATAGTGCAGAGACTTGACTAGTCCACGTTTATAGCAATTTGGACAAAAACCATTAAAATGTAGGTATTGTCCTTTCCATGTAGACTTTCAGTAAATTGACTTCTGAAAACTACCGTCTTCCAGGTGTTGCATGGCAATGTCGAGGAAGTGAAACTTTCCATCATTTTCATGTTCCATATTAAATTCAATATTGGTATGTGCGTTACTGAATAATCTTAGTAGGTGGGAAGCATGACTTCCATTGTCGCACACTACAAATATGTCATTGACATATCGAAAATAAGAAGTTGTTTCGTAGATTTCATGCTTCAACTTTGTTTTTTCAAGGTTGCGAATGAATGTATCTGCTAAAACAGGGCTAATAGGACAGCCCATAGCTGAAACATCTATTTGGCGGTAAAGGGTGTTGTCAAATTTGAATTGCACTTCCATGGTACACATTATTTTTTTGTTTCATATTTTTGATTATAGCTGGATTCCACACCGTATTATTGGTACAAGTATGGAATTTTCAGCATTTGATATTGGTGGCCCAAATTTAGCAGGCTGACCAATTGATATCAAGTGTGCGTCTGCCGGGAATCGAACTCCGGAGAGAGTCCTAACCGGTGTACCACAGACGCAGCCTCTTAGCTGTCTGAAGCTTAAATATGCCGTATTTACTAACATAGTCAGTGAACTGTTTTTGTGAAAATACTTTTTGGTTTAGCGTTATATGTCTTATATCGGTAAAATTTATGATCATAAATATCACCAAACTCAAATCTGTAACTACTAACCATGCTCTGCTGCAACACAGCAAAACACATCGATGGATATATCTGTGGGGCATTAGCAGTAGGCGTTTGAATTCCGACTCTGGCAGTGTGAGAAGATTAGACTGCTGGCTAGACTGAAGTTTTACGATGACTGCCGGTGGTCTGACTGGTTCACTTGCCATCCTATGAAGTTACCACGTGTTTGCAAACTACCACCATCTCTCAGAAATCTTCGACTTATTACAAAATCGCTTACTTAACCAACAGAATCTCTGATTTCAAGACTGAGAACTGAGGCCATATCCTTCAACCCTGTCGTCAGTAGTTTGAATATAGTATTCCGTATGAAATTCATCAATTCAAATCAAGAACCTCAACAGAAAACGCATGCGAATTTTAACAAAACTATGTCAAAATCTCTGAAAAAGGAGAAATTATGTGACGTTTTCCCAGAAAATCCTGAGGAGTTTATGTGTAATCTGTCGAGGCTGGAGTTGGATCGCATTAAAATGGAAGCGCTTTCCCTTGGATTTAACTTTCATATCTTGAATAACATTGTGAGACGAATAGATGTCACAGGTTGTTTCGAAAACTTATTCTATCGCCTGAATGACCTAACTGCAGTTGATGATGACAAGAAGAGCTGGTTCAAATCTAGGCTGGTCGGCGTTGCAAATCAATGCCTCATTTCTCCCACTTTACATTCCCAAATCCTCTTTGAAGAGCATAAAAGAGCATTGAAGACTCTCAGATTGTCGTATTGCAACCTGATAAAGGCTTAGTAGTCGTGCTGATGGACAAAGGTGACTACATCTCAAAAATGAAAGCTGTGATAAATGACCTGTTGAGGTTTAAAGTTGACAATTGTCAGAAGGATAAGACACATGAAGTTGAAAACGTATCACAAAAGTACTGAGAGATCTTCTTAAGAAGAAATTACTTGACAACAATATGTACAATTATTTAAAACCCTGAGAGTTCCGTTCGCCACACGTCTATAGTCTTCTAGAAACACACAAAACAAGTCCCCCCTGAGACCTTTACTTTCGATGACTAACTCGCCCCAACAGAATGCTGCATGTTGGCTTACATAGAAGCTGGAACTTGTTCTTCAACGGGTAGATGTACACATCATGAAAGACTCATTTCATTTCGCTGAAAGTATGAGCCACATGAATTTCTTAAATATATTAGTGGTGTCATTTGATGCAACCTCCTTGATCACAATGATTCCAGTCAATGAAGCTATTGAGATCATTTGTCATTAGTCTGATCTTCTTCTGCTACTAGAGTCGGAATTCAAACGCCTACTGCTAATGTGTACCATGGAAGTGCAATTCAAATTTGACAACACCCTTTACCGCCAAATAGATGTTTCAGCTATGGGCTGTCCTATTAGCCCTGTTTTAGCAGATACATTCATTCGCAACCTTGAAAAAACAAAGTTGAAGCATGAAATCTACGAAACAACTTCTTATTTTCGATATGTCAATGACATATTTGTAGTGTGCGACAATGGAAGTCATGCTTCCCACCTACTAAGATTATTCAGTAACGCACATACCAATATTGAATTTAATATGGAACATGAAAATGATGGAAAGTTTCACTTCCTCGACATTGCCATGCAACACCTGGAAGACGGTAGTTTTCAGAAGTCAATTTACCGAAAGTCTACATAGAAACGACAATACCTACATTTTAATGGTTTTTGTTGAAATTGCTTTAAACGTGGACTAGTCAAGACTTTGTACTATAGAGCTAGGAGATTACTCTCTATAGAGAAATTAGAGGAAGAATTTATATTTCTCGAAAAGATGTTGAAAAGCAACGGTTACCCTCAAAGTTTGATGAACAAGTAAGGATTGTCTGAAGTCTAAAATGTCAAGCAAATCACAGTGGAGAAAAAGCCCATCTACATTCAACTTGATTATAAAGGTAAAAGCAGATGAGAAGCCACCTAAGTAAATAATGCTACCATTTTATTCTGCAACACTGTTGTTTTTGCTTTATTCAAATTCATAAAGAAGAACGTTTGTGTGACTTCATTTAGCTTTTGATAACTTAGCGATTAAGTTTTATATACAATTGGTGGATGGTGGCTAGCAGTGTAATCCAGGATGCGCATTTCGTCCTAATTGGGACTCGTCAGCTTGATGTACCTGCATTTCTCAGTGAGTGATGATGTTCCCACCGAGGCTCGAACCCAGTGCCCATAGTTTCAAACGCCAAAGCGTTATCCACTAGACCACTTGGGCCCCAGACATCGTCGAAGCATCTGCACAAGAAGCCGACATGTCAACCTGAGACCAAACACTTCGGTCCAATCAATCGACGGGAAAATCAAAAATTCAATTCAATAAGTTTTATATATTTCCAAGTGGATATCGAATATGACCATGCGATACATTCACTTACTGGTGAAATTTGAATCAATCTGTTGAGTAAAATAATTTATACTGTCTTATTTTACATGTTCTTACAATTTAGTCATTTGACTACAAAGAACTGGTTGTTTTGGAAGCAAACCAACTGAGTGAAAATTGCATCAAAAGTGAAACTTTATTTTCCTGATTCATGTATGTCTTGTTCAATTTCAAAATTTCAGTTTCTTAATATTCAATATACTTTCTTTATCAATCAGATCATACATTTGCCCGTAAGCTTCTTTTAATGAAGATTAGCAAAATTTTGAAATGTTTTCAAGAAAAATATTCATTCTTATCAGTGAATGCCAACAGTTTGTTTTAAATCCTGTGAAGGTGTCTAACTCTTCTGAGATTTTCTATAGTTTTGTTTTGTAAGGGTTAGTTATGTTTTTACGAGTTGATCACGGATTGATATCGCTTAGTTGATATCAGTCGATATCAATCTTCTGAGATTTACCTGATATATATATACTACCAGGAAAAATTATCGTTTTTATAAGAATTCATAGTCATTACGCTTAATGTAGATTTTTGTTCAGTTTCTGAAAACTAACATATGAAAATTCGCTTTACAGCTGGATATAGTAAGTGATAATTCTGTCTAAAAATATTAGCCTAACATAAAGAAACACAACTATTCTGTTCATGAAATTGATTTCACAATATTTCTTTTGATCATTCTTTGAACGTTTACTCGTTTTTTAACTCAGTGTAAGTGACCTACAAGGATGAATGAATTCATTGAATAACAGAGAAACAGTATCTGGATCTCATACTCAACTTTACTGACTAATTGATCATCAATACATTCAAGGTTTGGAAATCAATCTTCTACTGAACACAGAATCTTCGCCATAGGATTAAGTAACATTCGTGAATGAATGATAGTTTGCTAACAAGCGACATGTAATGCACAAATAACTTGGTTTAGCAGTTATCTAATTTACACCTATGCTTATCTACAAGTTTTCTGATGAGTGGATACTGAGTGATATATCTTTTGACATTTTAAATACGCTCAATTAATCATGAAAGCTGTTAAAAGTACAAGAGTCCTTTATTTTCACGCAGCTATATTGTGTATATGCAATCACACTTGTATAATTTACCAATGTTTGTTGAACGAAACATTTGAAGGCCCTATTGCTACATAGTACTTCGATAGGGCGACTTCATTACAAGCTTTTTTTCATTGAAAACAAACAGCAAATATGTTTTCAAATACTAAACGTGATAGTTACAGTTGTATACAGCACTCACAATGCACTTTTTATATGCAACAACGAATCAACATCTTTTAAAGTCATCGATTTAAAATAGAAGATAAAATCATGGGTATTATTATAGAAATTAAGGTTGGTAAAACTGTATATCAGGAAATTAAACTATTAGTATCGAAAACATGCTAAAACGTTAGCAGAACAGTCACAGACTCATTAAATTACTGATTATGTGGCTTTTTTAACTCCTCATAACTAAAACTTTAACTACAAACAGTGCGTACAACTTTTATTTTTCCCCTGTGGCAGGACTCTTGGAAGTATGTCTATCTAATCACTGAAATTCATTATTACTGTTCCTTGAGAGTCGATTGGGTTGTCTTCTTGATAATTAGACAAAAACAGTGGTTTTTTAATAGTCCACATGTTGCAGTTACTACAGTCAAAACGGTGACAAAGATGTCCTTCACAAACCTGGGTAAAACGGATTTATTTCTCACTCTTCTTGCAACTGCATTTAGCAAAAAAAGCGTTAACTATTACGATGAAATCATAAACAACGCTAACACACTGCAAAGTCAATCAATTACTTTTCAGACATACAATCACGAATTCTACATGGAATTCTGAGTATATAGAGAGTCTTTTAAACCGTTCTGTCAGGTAAATGAAACAATAAATAAATATGTGATACTTTAAAAGTGAAACGTAATATTTTATGTAATCAAAGTGAATGAAAATGTAAATATCGGTGTGAAGAATAATTAGTTTTCAGACTTAACGTTGACTTAACTTTGTAAACGGCGTAAGTCAACGATGTACGTCTTACTCTGACAAAAATCAGAAAACTGTTTTGAAACAAAATCTGAAGTGTCTATATACACAAGTAGAACCTGTTTGTTGCTGAATACTCTTTTTCCACTGAACACTGAAATAATAGAAAATATGGGTTTCTGAGTATTCTCAAAGTTGTGAAACACAACAGTTGAAATATAATTAACTCATCTGATTACTGACAATGCTAAGTAAAGAATTTATTATCTTGCGAATTCCATTAAAGCGATGCAGGTACGTTCTCTATTATATAAGAGTATCTAAACTTTAAAGAAAAAAGGCTTTTGAACTAATGTTAACAGACATAAATCTAAGCTACTCTACTACATAATTAAAAAAACTCGTAAATTAAACTCGTAAAACATAACTAATCCTTACAAAATAAACTATAGAAAGTTAATCTGATGCTCGCTAGTGACTTGCTACAGGTTGGAGTTTCCTGAGTTCTAGTGAGAAGTCGTGACCAGTGAGGTCCAATTAAATGTCACGTGTGTGGATAGATGTCCCACCAACGACAATGGTTGGGGTCGCGCTAAATCACGAATTGGTGGAAGTTAGAATTCATGGATTGGCCATTGAATCGGGTCTCAGTGGCTGAATGGTATACGAGCTTGCTTGCATTGTAACCAGAAGGTCCTGGGTTCGAAACCTGGTGGTGGGTGCGTACTGACGATGATTCCCAAACTAGGATGAAACAGCAGCTGTCCAGTACTCCCTGGTTTTTCAATGGTTCTCTAACTGATATCAATCAGTGATCAACTCGTAAAACATAACTAATCCTTACAAAATAAACTATAGTAAGATAATTAAAAAAGTATGAAATTCTTCAAAGAGGCTTTTCATGTTGGAAAGCTACTGAAACATGTTTGTGTAGTTTGATATGACTTATATATAACCGCTTAGTTACACTGTGTAAATATTGATAGATACGACAGATGAAAGTGAATTCATGCAGCAGCGTAAATATTGATTAAACTAATTAGCCAGTTAGATAGAACACACCTACTTGGAAAAGAGATTTTATTTGCTAGTCTGTAAGGTATACGCATTGTATACAGTTCAAAGATATAACTCACTAGCCAGGGCTGAAGCAATTGGAACTGTATTCGACTCTTGGCTTTCTTGACTGAAGTTCAATTACTAAGAATAATATCTAACACCTACAAAACAACGTAGGGGCATCCTCGTGTTTCAGAGTTAATGTTTAAAATAAAATAAAATTATTTTGTTAATATCCGGAAGATATTCAAGCTCTACGAAGATGAAAACATAAGTCAACTGCACACTAATTATTCACCTTCTT